CTAATGCGCCTCCAGATAGTCCTCTCCTTGTGAACCCAACTGCATAAAGCCCACCTTTCCCTTCCACCCATTTGGGAATGAATTCTTGGGAGGAACACAAAAACAGTAAGACATAAATACAAAAATCAATTTGTATGTGTGAGAGGAGAAGAACACAAAAACAACTCAACCCATGCCACTGCCACCCCCTGCGATTTCTCTTCCCCCCACCCCACCCCCCCCCACACACATCCCAGACCCCAAAACCACCAAACAAAAACAACAACATCCAAAAAAACAAGGAAAGAAAGGAAAGCAAAAAAAAAAAAAAAAAAAAAAAAAAAAAAAAATATGTTCAATCCAGCACATGAAAAGACAAATATGCCCTCATTTTTAACGGAAAAGTTGATTGATATAACGGAAAGGACGATTTATGAAAGTGGAGGCATAATTAAAGTATCACCGTAACAATTTAGCAATATGAGGGACGAAAAGTAAAGTTTGGTCTTAGTCCAGGGACCATTGCTACAATTTAGCCTCTTTTTTTAAAAAAAATAACAAATTTAGTCTTGTCTTGTATTTTTGTAATGGGACGAGACGAGATGGGAACTTGTCCCCAACGAAGGCAGGGACCCGATACTTAATGGCAAAGGGGAGTGCGCAACCATGATTCGACCCATTTTCATTCCTACTTTGAATACATATATTACTAGTGGTTTTTTTTTATATTCCAATAGTAGTACTAGTCGTTGTTATTGTTAAGGATCAAGAGATTGGGTCCAACACGTTTGCGCCATTATAGGAGCAAACCAACCAGAAATTAAATTAATACAAGGAGTTGAATATGATACATCGAAATTCAGAACAACGTTCCGCTTATTTTCCATCTATCAAAGACAAAGACTTCTTCCGGCTGATTTGGATATGTTATATTCATGGTCGCCATCATGTTTTTTTATTCAAACGGAATAAGCAACGAAGTTGCTGTGACTTTGCTTGATGCTGAAGCCTCCCTTTATTTCCATCCTTCCTTCCTAACAAATCATTGAATTTATTAAATTGTTTCGAAACTTCTACGATCTATTCAACTTGCTCTACATCACAAGTTTTAAAGTTTAAATTATATTCATTAATATATTAACAAAGCATTGACTTAGATTTATCAATAGGCTACTTCCTCCACATTTCAAATCAAAATATCTTACGAGTACCCATCCATCGCATACTTTTTTATTTCCTTAATTTTTTTCCTTTTGGTGTGCTAAATTATATGACCGGATAAGATTCATAATCTAGTCAAATGTTTGATGACATAAACATTATTGCGTTTTCTGCGTACACGTCCGACTGTGATGACCGCTTACATTTAAGGAGCAAAGTATTTCCCTTTTAAAGTAATTGGATTAAAAAAACAAGTCTGAAAAAGAAGACACAAAATTAGTGGATTTGGCAAATTTTGAAATCTTCATATTTACTATTTTTTGGTTTTTTTTTTCGCCGAATATGTAAAATTCTAAAGATATGAACTCATTGTTGGAACTTTGCGCATCACCGTTTATCTCCTTTGATTTTGTGTTCACTGCGTGCCACCTTATACATTTTAACTTTCTTCTCTTTGATCATATGCTCACCTAATGTGAAAATAAATAAATAAAAATAAAAGTTCTCTCACATTACTTACTTTTTTTTTTTTTTTTTTTTTTTTTTTTTTTCAAAATTTCAATTGAGTTTTGCGTTTGCTACCCACCCGTTTGGGTTGCGTTGTTTGAGTCCCATATCATTACTTAATTTTGTTGCTCAACATTTGAAGTATACTTTTGAACGCGTATTGACTTAGACTTCTCATTTCTTCCATATATATACAAACTTCATTTCAATATCCATTAATTTCTACGATCATTTTACTTCTTGCTCACAATCAGCTTCTTCAACAGTTAGCTGAGAAATTAATAATGGCAGCAGAGAGTCCTGCAATCGGGATCGATCTGGGCACTACATATTCGTGTGTAGCGGTGTGGCAGAAGGATCATGCAGAAATCATAGCAAATGATCAGGGTAAAAGGACAACTCGATCTTATGTTACATTCACTGAAAGTAATAGGTTGGTAGGCGATGAAGCATTTAACCAAATCCTGAGAAATCCGGCCAACTCAATCTTCGGTAAGAATATCAATAAATTGTTTTCACTTTTACTTTATAGGTCAATAAGTTTTTAACTTTCCAGATACTAACCATTTTACCCTTGATAGTTAACACAATGGTGTAATATTTTATGCAACTTTTCATATTTTCGGGTGTTTTAATTTGTTAGTTCAGGTTTGATCTGACACTAAATTGCAATATATATTATTTCATTGATTCCTAAGATGGAGATTTAAATAGTTAAATTGTTTCATGCTAGAAATATTTTAAACTAATTAACTTGAAGTCAACTTGCAGATGCAAAGCGGTTAATTGGTAGGAGATTCAGTGACGCCTCTGTTCAAAGTGATGTGAAGCTCTGGCCATTCAAGGTGATTGAAGATCCTAGTGGCAAGCCCAAGATTGTGGTAATGCACAAAGGTGAAGAGAAAAAATTTGCTGCTGAACAAATATCATCCTTGGTTCTCAGGAAGATGAAGGAGATTGCGGAAACCTACCTCTGCTCAAATGTGAAAAATGCAGTTATTACTGTGCCCTCGTACTTCAACGACTCGCAACGTCAGGCTACAATGAATGCCGGTGCCTTGGCCGGCTTAAATGTGCTGGGTATTATCAACGAACCAACGGCTGCAGCCATTGCTTATGGCATTGACAAGAAGGTTGGTTGGTATAAGAAGAAACATGTGATGATATTTGACTGGGGCGGTGGCACTTTAGATGTGTCTCTGCTTATCATTGGACAACATGGTGCGTTTGAAGTGATGGCCACTGCTGGAGACACACACCTTGGCGGTGAAGACTTGGATAACAGAATGGTGAGTTACTGTGTCCAAGAATTCAAGAGAAAATATCAGTTGGACATTAGTGGAAACTCCAGAGCTCTTAGGAGGGCCAAAACTGAGTGTGAGAAGGCAAAGAAGGCACTGTCATATTCGTTTGAAACCGATATTGAAATTGACTGTTGGTACCAGGGTGAAGATTTTTATGCAAAATTTTCCCGGAAGAAATTTGAGGAAATGAACATGGATATCTTCAACAAGTGCATGGAGCCTGTGAAGAAGTGTTTGAAGGATGCCAAAATGGACATAAGCAATGTCGATGATGTTGTTCTTGTTGGTGGCTCTTCAAGAATTCCAAAGGTGCAAGAGCTATTGAAGGAGGTTTTCAACGGTAAGGAGTTGTGCAGGAACATTAATCCGGATGAGGCTGTGGCATATGGAGCGGCTGTTCAAGCTGCAGTCTTGACTGGCAATGTAACAGGGAAGCTTCAAGACTTCAGTCTCTTGGATGTCATCCCTATGTCACTTGGGGTGCAGGTTACGATTGTAAGCACGGGTGATAAAAATGCCATGCAATTTGTGATCCGAAGAAACACGAGAGTTCCCGTGGTGAATGAGACGACTCTAGTTACTGTCTATGACAACCAACGTAGTATCAGATTCGCCATTTATGAGGGTGAGAGTACATCAACGGTAAATAATAACTATTTGGGTGAATTTTGCCTTGATGACATTCCTCCCGCTCCCAAAGGTGTTCCTGAGTTCAATGTTTGCTTTGATATTGACTCAAATGGAATCTTGAGAGTCTCCGCTGAGGATATGCTGACTGGCCAGAAGAAAGGGATCACAATCAATCGTGATACATCGAAGAACGCTTGAGGGATTTGAGAATTAAAGATGAGAGGTAAGAAATGATAATTTTTAGTGTCCAAGTACTATATGTATCTGTTTGTTCCTAGATTTTTACACCCACGGCCTTTGAATGCTTATGCCAGGTTATGTTGTTTCAGGTTGAATCAAAATTTTGGTGGAGAAGGCAGTGGACGGGAGCTCCTTTTGCTGGCTGGTTGTCCGTTTTGTGATAGCTCGTGTTTTTATAAGTGTTTTCTTCTTTTTACAAAGGACATGTTTTCTTTTTCTTTCTTTGCAAAATATTTGACGAATAGTTCACCCAAAACATAAAAAAATTGTTGTATATGTATAGACCATGGTGTTATGGTAATGCTTGAATCAGTAGAAGATTAGCAGATTGGAACTCAAACTCCAAGCTGTTTGTTTGGTGACAAATGAGGACGGATTCACTGTTTGGCAAAAACAAATTGTTTGATAAATCTAGCTAATCTGAAACCCTACAAATTAAAGCTAACGGAAATTAATGCAGCAAAAACATAAACGTGAATTGCATTAAGTCGATGCGATTTGTGGAGTATCATAATATTATTGGCGCTAGGTAAGTCACTAATAGTCTCCGTTCTAGTGACAGTAAATTCAGTTGATCACCAAAAATAATTTGTGACAAGCTTATATATTGACCACGCAGTAACTAACATTATTTGGTCACTACATTAGTTTTACGTACTTTTAGTGACCATTCTGTTGGTCACTAATGTCAATTTTTTTCTTGTACTGCAGATTTGTAATCTAATAGGGCACAAACCACCATTTTAGGTCTAATGTATTTTCGGAGATGAACTTCCTATTTTCGGGGCCCGGTAAAAATTGATCAAACGTAAATGAATAATCATCTAAGTCGTTTTCCTAGAACAAATAGACAGACACAATGAATTGGATGAGAACACTATGAAGATTATTAAGATAATCAAATAGCTAGTTGACCTTTAATTTGATAAGCAAAGATCCTACGAAACAAAAGCCTAATTAGTATATAGAAATATTAATTATTTAAACGGTCCAAATAAAAACCGACTCCAACTATACTTTTCATTCTACGAAAGTTTAATATGTGGTACTTATTTGTTAGAAACAGAAATTTCTTTACGGATTAAATTATAACAAATTGTAACTTTGGTATACAATTGAAACACACGGCAAAACCGAGCATAAAAGTTCATAGGGTGAATCATAATAACAACTACCCCGTCAGCCATTGAAGAGACCACTAGCTACCGAAGCTACAGCACTTGCAAAGGCCCAACAGCTATTGAAATCCTCTATTGCTTTCATTACAACGTCCTGAAATAATAACAACTACCCCATCAGAATGCTGCAGAATTTAAACATAGAGAATATGTAACGCTGGAGTACATTATATATATATATATATATATACATAGCTAAGTGAACTCACACTAGATCGGCTAACTTGATACCAGACACCCAATCCCAGCACAAGACATGTTAGTAGGACGAATCGGCTGTCTTTGAGGTAGGTGAAGGCCAATTTTGCCTCTGATAAGCCGAATGTCCTTGTATTGGACTGAGAAGAGTTTGGCTGCACCAACAAAACGCTTCAACTGTAATGATAAGTTATGGAACCAAATATATTACAGGCCAAGATTAATTAAGTTTGGAAAAGATTAGATCCAGCTTGACTTACTTGATTGGACTCGGAAGATTCTGGCTACATGCATCAACAAATAGCTTCAGCCATTTTGATTTCTTACATATATATATATATATATATGCTATTTAACCAAATTAAGAATAGAGAGAGAGAGAGAGAGAGAGAGAGAGAGAGAGAGAGAGACTAAATGAATCGATGATAAGTTGAATGTTACCTGATCTTGTGTTGGTATTAATGGTGTTGTGCCCCTGGAATTGAGCAACAAATAGAAAAGAGTTTTAAATTCCTGAAAATTCAACTTGCCATCTCTGTTAGTGTCGAGCTGCTGGAAGGGGATCCTGTAAGAGCTGCCATAATAAAATTGCTGGTATTCGATGAGGGTTATTGTCCCATCACCATCTAAATCCATTGCTTCAAAATCTTCCCATGCCTTATCCTTTTGCTCCTCTGACAAATTATCAAAACAAGCTAAAGCAGCCTCCCGTGTTTCTTCCATCTCTCTCTCTCTCTCTCTCTCTCTCTCTCTCTCTCTCTGGTAGCAGAAGCTATTAGATTTCTGTTAATTTAATTTTATGTGAGTGGGGGAAAATCAAGTATACTTTTCAACACGTTTAGGGTGCCCCTCCACATTTCATAAAATTAAAAAATATCTTTACCATTATTGTATTTACGTATTGACTTAGACTTTGCACACCGATATATTGGTGGTGTCTAGGGGTGGCGCGATCCAAATTGGATTGATTTCACCTCAAAATTAAGGCCGAATAAATTATAATATAATAATTTAGTTTAGTTCAGTTTTTACAAAAGTCATGAAGAAAATCAAATCAAATCGAACCAATTTAAAAAAGTTTGGTTCGGTCAATTTGGGCCAAAGCTCAATTCTTTTTCCTTTTATATTTTTGCAACATTGTTAAGTCCAATTACAACCAAAAAATTCACAACTTGCTCCATACTTAAATCATTTTTTAGAGTATGAAACCATATAAAGCTCAACATATCATAAAACTTCAAATTTCAATAACTATCCATATATAGTTATTACCTAATTAGAGTATTACACATGTATAATAAATAAATATACGCATAAACGGTCCGATATGATTTAGGCCGGTTTACAAAAGCTCAAAACTAAACTAAACCAAAATAATTTTTAAACCGTTTGAGTTTTTCTTGATCAAAACCAAACAAAATCGGTAATCAAAATTTAAATCAATCAGGTTGGCCAGATTAATGTCCACCCCTAGTGGTGACCAGGCCGTCGGCTTCTTAATTATTTTCTTTACATCAAGACAAAAGACCCAGCTGCAAATTGTATTTACTATTTATTTATATGGTCACGATCATATTTGATTATTTTTTTCAAAAGGAATCAGAAACGAAGTTGCTGAGACTTTGCATTACTTTTTGAAAAATCCCGGTAAAGAAAAAGCTAGAAAGGGAGATGAAACGAAGTGCGGGCCAAGAAATTTCCTATAGTTTGAGCTATTGTCCAATCTAGTTATAAGAGCCAGACATTTTTAGGGTCTAACTTAGATAGCCCAAAGTTACCAGTATGACAAACAAGAATACGAGGCCATGGTAACTGGGTAGTGTTTTCAGCAATGTTTAATGAACAAACATAAACCCTGAAACATTTTTAACCTTCAACTTTCTAATGCCATCAATCCAAAATCACCATTACCCTGTTAACAAAAGACTCTGTCTAACAAAAGACTGCCACATGAAGTTCAAGAGTTCTTCCTTACCTGGCTTTCATTTCCGGTGCTAGTCTGCTACCAGACACAACAATATACCTCTAAGCAGTTCCAAACAAGCATAAGTTACAAGATTAGGGTTCTATAAATAAAGTTCCATTCCACATCCATCACCATCCAGACTAAAGTTTTGATTACATCAACAAAATCTCTGGAGAAGTACAGAACCTACTCTGTACTTCATGATTCATCTCAGCTGTTTTTATGTGAAAGACAATTGTCGCAGTGAAAGCCATCTTGCTTGGTTTTACCTTTTTTATAACATATGATTGGTGAGGTAAATAAAATATGACCATTTTCTCCAAATTCGCTTGCTCAAGAACATACCTTGCTAACTCCATTCCATTGAACCCATTGGAAAGCACTACCGTTACCTCCTTAAGCTGATCAGTAAAATTCAGGTTTTGGGATTTCCAGTACTTCCTATTACATCTGCGTGCCTGAAAAGGCAATAAGCAAAAAAAAAAAATTCAAAAGTACCAAAACAAGGATTCTCTGAAATAAAGAAGGGAAGGTGTTATTCCCTGAACTATAACACTACCTGCCTACATTTGATGATATGCACATGAGGGTCATACAAAGCTTTAGAAACAATACTTTGAGCCATAAAATATCTTTCTTGCCAGACAACTACTTCAATATGCTCCTCATTTGAGAAAAGGTAAAATGTGTTGTGCATTTTTTAGAGAGGGAGAGAGAGCAACCTAGACTGTAACTTACTTTAGGTTTATGGAAGAGTGAGGAAATGTCAGAGTCTATGTGCGAAGTATTCAAAGTAGGCATTATTCCTCTCAGAAGAGAGACCATAGCTGGGACTAGGTCGTCACTGAAGCTCCCAATATGCATACCCAAGTAAGAAACATTATCGAATTGTGCAGGCTGGAGCCTTCCTTGAACAGAACCCGCAATAGTATAGAGGCCAACTCTTGAACAGAAAAATTATGACCACTCAAACATCCTATGAAAGAGTAGAGAAACAAAGTTGAGCAAAAAGCAATATATCATCAATTACTCAAACACTCAAGGCCATATCATGCTCCTACATTCATTTGTCAAATCAATTGCTTCTTAAATTTGAGTAAGGTTTATCTTTTGAGATGAGAGAGGTGAGGGAGAGAAGAGAACAATGAAACAAATTTGATCTACAGAAATGCATAACGCAAAATGTCTTACTTTCGCCAAAAGAGAATATTTGTCTGCAGGGTAGTGCATTTTACCTTAGTGATATGTCGTCACTTAAAGAACTTTAACCCTACATATATACTGCAGAGAAACTCAATTGCATTGTCAATGTCATCGGCATCTGCCTTACGCCTCAAAAAAATCTCCGCCTTTTCTAAACACATTAGTTTCCCAAGATCTTGGCGCTTCAATAAATTCCCAACCCATTTGAAATATTTGAGACTTGGAGCATAAATATTCAGTGATCTGCTGCCACGTTAAAGAAATCCCCACTCTATATGTATATCAAGTTTATCACCTGAGACGTTAAGTTGGCAGAGGTCACTGTAATGAGACACAAACCTAAATTATTCCAAAGATGAGTTTTCAATGGAGATATTTTCTGTCTTAAAATTATTAAGCTGCAATTGCTTAATGCAGTTGCAGAAACTTGAGATCAATTTGGAGAACCCCTCATCTATTCTAACACTACTCAAGCTTAAGTGTTGGAGATTAGTGGAACCGGAAAAGGAGGGCACCTTAAGAACCGTATACAAGTCCACCAATAGAGACCTCAAAGATCCACAAAGAAAGATGCAAGATGGCAATTCCATCATAGGCATATCTGTTTTCGTTATTTCTAACTAAAGATCAAGCACTTCAACATTACACCTTTCTGCAATGTGGATCCATGTGATCACTCGGAAAATCTCATCACACAAGGTTGAACATAGATTCAAACATATGCGAAAGTGCTGTATCTTGTTATCCCCGCGATGAATCAAGAACTTTTCAAAATAATTCAGCATGTTTAACTGCTCCTGCTTGTTTGAATGCCATGACCAAAAATCCAATGACAGGGATGAGAGATAAAGCCCTCTGAACCTTTTGGACACACTGCCTACTCGAATGAGTTGTTTAAAATTGAAAAAAGAAAGAATTTGATGAGCAACTTCATCGGGAAGGTTACTGAACCTGTCTATTATACTGTCAGGACAAGGTACTTGAGCTTGAGAAATTGCAGTAGCCAATAACTTATGCTTGTGTTCCATGACACTAACTTATGCTTACCCAAAATAGATTCAGCGAAAAGAAAGAAAAAAATATTAATTCGACCTCGTGAACTCTGAAATGGTGCTTCGATGATCAAAATATTTATTTTTATTCCTTACTTTCCAACATATTCTCAGCAACGTGTGAGCCCAAGAAAGATCAAGAGGAAGTGAAGTGAGAGAGATGTGGAATAGATTTTGGGCGCGAAAACCGAACCGTTTACCAGAAGCATGACTCTGTTAACTTCCTGGGTCAGACCCGAAAACCCACTAAGTTCTCTAATCCATTTGGTCTTCTTTCATGTCTAGGTTGGGCTCCCCTTTGGGCCTTTACATTTGGGTTTTTTTAATGAAAAATTACTTGAATACAATCACGTGATACAAAAAGAGGAAAATTATAGAAACAGATGCAGTAGCAACCCTGCTCCTTAGCAACAACGACGTGGATTTGAGACCCAAAAAAAAGAAAAATAAATGTAAGTGCATAAAAAAGAGAAAAAACAAAGGACATTTGGGCTAAGCCAATATTAAGGCCCATTAGACAATAAACCAAATTAAGGTAGACGAGTGAAAAACTACTCTTGGGCCTAACCGCAATCAGACCATATCATATCCTAGATTCGCAAAATTCGACAACAAAATCGACGATTGACGAAGGCCACCGATAACAAAACAACAAAAGCCACCGACAACGAGAGATAAAAATAAAAACATAGAGAGAGGAACAAACAAGCTGAAAAAGAGAGAAACAGAGAAAGTGGAAAAACATAGGAGAGAAAAGAAAAGAGAGAAAGAAGAAGAGGAAAGGAGAGGAGCACCACTCACGGGCCCAAAACTTGCCTTGTGCAAATATAAAACAGTATTTAAAAGAACTTAATACAAGGAATCTTTTATTCATATTCCTTAATTGTGATTGGATATAGAGACATGATGAATTGGGTTTCGTGCTCTTTTTCTTTTTTAGTGGTAGTCATTGTGAGTTCGCATCTGCGGTGGGTGACCTGTCGGCTTCTCATAATTACAAAGACTTTCAGCTGACTTGCATGCAGCTGCATATGTTTTTTTTTTACTTGGGTCGTAAGCTACATATGTTACATGCGTGGTCACCGTCAATGTCATGTTGCGTTGATGGTGAAGTTTCCAATAATTCTCTCATTCCTAGCTAGTAGTGTTGCTTTTTAGGGGTGAGTACGGTACGATTCGACTGCTTTAGTAGTGTTGCTTTTTAGGAGTGGGCACGGTACGATTCGATGCTTTATTAAGGGGAAGGGTCCTCTTAGTTGAGGTAATATTTCTTTTGTTTTGGTGGGAGACAAACTTTCCATGTTTTATCACATGTTTTGGGGCACATGTCACTCGATCGGGTTTTCATGGTACATTTATGTGGGGCTGCTCTTTTTGGTTGGCTCTTGAGGAGGAATTTGGGAAAGCTGCACTGCACGGTTTCTTCGCTCATAAGGCTGTTGGATGGCAACTTCCCTTTGGCTGAAGAAGCAAATAATGGAGAACTAATAATTAAGCAGAAGAGAAAAAGTAGCTTCATTTGCTTTTCTGGTGACCTGGAAAAAGACTTTAAAGCAACAAAAGTAGGATAAGGATCCTAGGAAGGAATCATATCAATTTGAAATCTAAGAAAGTAGATTGAAGATCAAAAGAACTTATATGGTCCAAATGAAAGATATCCCTTCCAACTGCATGCGTTATTTGGTCAAAATCAAAGATTAATGGACAATAATTCAGCAACGACCTTGCACAGTAAGTCAATAAGATAAAGAAAACACAACAGAAAAGAATCGTCCTAAAAATCAACAGACGACGACTAAACATCGGTCATCAGTATTCACTCCAATTCATGCTCATTCCGATTCAAGTTAGTGTCATATGTAAAATACACAATAATGAGAAGACACATACACTCTAAATTATCTCTCATACGAATCATCGATAGACTTTCAATTGTTTATTATTATTTTTTTCTCAATACACTTTTGGTGCCTGAACTTCGGCTATTTTTGAATCTAGCATCTAAATTATAATTTGTCACAATTTTTCTTTTGGAATACGATATGCTAAATTACTCTAATGTATATGGAGGAGGTCTAACTAGGGTGCAAAAGGGCAAATACGTTGTCTTGATCAACTAGCGTAATCCACATATGCTAATTTGTCACAATTTAGTTTGTAACTTCAATATAAATGTTTGATATCTCATAGCAATTTTGCTTGTGTCTCCCTTCCTTATTATCATAGAGGACAATTATAATTAACTAAATGCAAGTACGTACGAAAATTTATGGAGTTAGACCCTTGAATTAATCCAATAACATATAATTAACTATTTAAACCCTCACTCATACTCCTTTTTCTACCACATTGAAGTTGTCCCAAAGTTTTTATGCCATGTGTGATTCACAAACTAATTGCAAAACGAACTCATGGCAACATTTTTAAAACTCTGTCTTCCCAATTTCTCCGTATGGGATTTAAATTTATATATACTCTCACTATTGGCATCACCACAAGAAGAAATTTTTTTAAGAAAATACTTGTCATCTATTTTCCATTGGCTCTAAACAACCAATACTTCAAGTCTTTGTTCAACTATGACAATCATTAATTAGAAACTACACCATAGATGATTATGATGTTTTTTTTTTTCATCAAATAGAAATGTTGAACTCATACTTTTTCCTCTCTTTTTCTTTTTCCTTTTTATTTGGAAGGGAGGGTCTTATACCATGGACAATCAGAATAAGGGCTATAGCCTAGTTCAAAATCTAACAACTCACCTTAAGGTTAATCTAGCTTATCCCATTTTGAAATTTTGGGTCCGTCTCGGCTTTTTTATTTTTTTGGACGAAAGGTCCGTCCCTGTTTGGAAGACAACAATGGCAACTAGAAATCATCTTACCTTTACTTGTAAGACTCGAGAGTTCTATTGAACTTCGCAAGACTCCGTTCCTTTTGAAAACTTGCCCTTTCACACATGTGAAAATAAATAAATTAATTAAAAAAAAACCGGAACCATCTCTAAACTTGAGCAACTCAAGGGCCCCAAAATTTGGCCTTTTCCACTCTTTTTCCGAGAGAGAGAGAGAGAGAGAATTTCCCAAAATATACACAGTTTTACACTCCACTCGATATGTCAAATAAATAATTATTGTTAACAGTTAAATCATTTAAGAAAAAAATGAAAAAAAAATGAAAAAAATAAATGAAAGTAATAGCTAGCTATCTTTAAAAAATAATAAAATATTCATTTGACATCTTGCTTTTGGGATGTCAAAAGTAACAGCTGAACCTCCAGCCTTTATTCCATATTAGTTTTGATAATTCAATTGGAGTGATGTGAAATGTTATTTCTAATCGTTAAATATCTATGTGACACTTTTGACATATCGGTTGGAGATGCTCTTATATTCATAGTCACTGTCAATGTCATGTTGCGTTGATGGTGAAGCCTCCAATAATTATCTCCTTCCTAACTAGTAGTGGTTCTTTGAAAAATCAAAAATAACTGTGACTTAATAATACAAGGAATCTTGATTCCTATTCCTTAATATATATGTAGAGAGAGAGAGAGAGAAAAAAAAAATGAAGTGGGTTTCGTGCATGCATGACTTGAATAGTAATAGTCGTTGTATCAGACCAAAAAAAAAGACTCGTATTATGTTATATTCATGGTCACTGTCATGTTGATTGTTCATCATAGGGAATCAGCAAGTGATCGACTTTGCGTTGATGCTTTCGGCTGCTTTAGTTAGGTTAGGTGGAAGGCAATATTTCTTTGTCTAAAACTTTGTTTTTATTTTTTGGGCTATTTGTCATCTTGTGGGGGAATTTGGGGAGCTAAGGACAGCTAGCATGGTTCTACAAGGTCCTCTTTCACTTGGCTAGATTCCTTTGACAAAAGTAAAATCAAAATCCTAACCTAAGAAAGGAATCATATGATTTCGAAATCTGAAAAAATAAATCGAAGATGAAATGTAACCTTTTTTTTTTTGGTCGAAATTTGATATCATTAAAGCAAACCCCAAGCGGGAAGAAACGATACAAAAGCCTGAGGCTCCAAGCAGCAAACAAAAACCGATTAAGAGGCAAATCATGATCATTTCAGTGTTTGCTAACACTTCAGGAATCAAAACAAGAGTGGGGCCCGCATCCATATTCTTGAAAAATGAAGGATCAGACTCCATGGTGACGGGGTAGTATTATGATTACTAGTAATCATGAGTCATCATGCATTCATTCCGATTCCAAGTTAATAAACATACTATAAGTTAACAAATAAGCAATAACTACTGAGAAGATACATACACTCTAAATTCTCTCTCATACGAATCATTGATAGACTTTCCATAGGCTTAGAATTTTCTTTGTTTAATTTTTTTTTTCTCAATACAATTTGGGTGCATGAACTTTGGCTGTTTCGGAATGTAGCACCTAACTTATAATTTGTCATAATTTTCTTTTAAAAAAATACATGTTGTTGAATTACTCTAATGTACTGGGAGCACTAGTGGACCGAAGAATTTTTTAGCATAAGTGTAATTTTGAAAGGTTAAAAGCTTTATAACAAAATATTAAAAAAGACATATTATGAATCAATTTGAATTACATTCGAACTTGCTTTGGAAGCTTGATCGATACAATATTTTCTTTCTTGGCATAAGACTTGATTGATGAATCAGTTTTTATAACTGAGGACATATTGTATCGATCAAGCTTCCAAAGTAAGTGAGGACATATTTTCTCTAAATAAAAATAAAAATAAACCAAGAAAATAAACAGACTTGATGGTGGAGATATAAATTTTTTTATTTATGAATTTGATGATTTTATAGACTTGGATTGGTGGGAATCACTCAAAAAGGGACTTTCTTTTTTTAAAAGCAAAATCTCCTTAATAGAAGTAGTTTCCTCCTTTTCCATCTATAGTACGAATCCTTTTTTGTTTTTTCTTTTTCCCTGGTCCAAAATGATGTCGTTTTGGCCAGGGTTTTTTAAAAATCAACAAGACTGAGTGGAGGTGCAACTTTCCGCACCTGCAACGCTTTCTCCGGCCAGGGGAGGTGCAACTGCACCTCCTTGCGCCTCTATAAGCCCGCCAATGACTAGGAGGAGAATCAAAGTCGGTTGTAAAGGGGCGAGCACATTACTGGACTGGCTCCTTAAAATTGAGGATCCTCCTCAAAACAAATCGGGTTTTGAAACTTGTTAATTTTTATAATTCTTTTGTTTTTTTTTGGTGCCAAAGTTAGAAAGTGGGAGGGAGGGGAAAACTCACACACAGGTACCGTGGGGGTTTGAACCCAAGACCACTTGGAAGCACATCAAAGGCATGAGTCAATCCAACTGACACTTCATTGGTTCCTTTTGAATTCTTTTGCCCTTTTTTCTTTTGGAATTTGGCAAGTGTAAGAGTCTCATTTGTTGCGAGGAGCTCCTCCTCCTTAGTTTTAGGCCACTTCCAGCAGCCCCCTAGGGCTGGGGGGGGGGGGGGGGGGGGGGCAAGAGCCCAAATGCAAGTTCCGGCAACAAAGGCTGGCTTGGGCAGAGTGGGGTCCACGAGCCTGGGCTGGCCCGAAGGCAGGGGGAGCCCAAGCTCCAGCCCGAAGGCAGGCTGACGTCAGCAGGCGCAATTATTTTTTTTTCTTTTTGCTGCCACGTGGCGCAACCTGGTCCTTCCGATTTCTGATTTTTCATCCAATCCAACGGCCTGGAATTTTTCAAGGCAAAAAATTATGAAAAAAAATCGTAAAAAATTTTAAAAAAACTCCAAAAAATATTGAATTTTTTTCTATAAATACCAATCCATACTCTTCACTTTTAAGAACAAATTCACTTTCTACTCAATAATTTTTTCACTTTCAACTCTAAATTTTTTTCACTTTCAAGTTTAATTATTCACTTTCTACTCAATAATTATTCACTTTCAAGTTTCACTTTCAACTCTAAATTTTTTTCACTTTCAAGTTTAATTATTCAACTCTAAAAAAATTTATCTGAAATTTGAAACTGAAAATCTTATCCGAATATTTTATCAAAAAATCTCATCCGAATATATTGTCCAAATTAATTGTTTAGGTAAACAAATTTGTGAAAAAAACAAAAAATTGAATAGTACCCCCCTTGCCATGACAACTGCTGGAAGTGGAACTTACTTTTGCAAGGGCAGACACTATTCCCGTAAATAGTGTCAGCCCTAGCCCTCCCCTTACCATGGCAAGATTTCAACTGCTGGAAGTGCCCTTAAGGAGCCAAGGTGTGCTCTTTAATTTATGAGCATGGCTTGGCTCCTTAAAATTATAGAAAAGCTCCTCCTTAAAACCAATGGGATGTTGACACTTGTCAAATTTCATTAACAATGACAAAGTTTCAATAAAAAAGAATATTCAAATATTTTGACACGTGTCAAAACCACATTGGTTGTATGGAAGGTTCAATTAAGTGGAGGGACAAATGTCAAAATTTTGGATAGGTGACAAAAAGGGTACAGAGGATTTGGGTACAGCAGATCTGAAGTCTCTCTTACAATTGTAGTGCGTAAGCTTTGATTTATTAGACTTTTCACTTCCTCCGTGTATAAATTTTCTTCCACATCTATTTTCTGCACTTATTTAAATTCCTTGTTAATCTATTACAGTCTTCTTCAAGATTTTCAGCCGAGAAAATTAATAATGACAGAAGATAACCATGCAATTGGGATCGATCTGGGGACAACTTATTCGTGCGTGGCAGCGTGGCAGGCTGATCATGTAGAAATCCTGGTGAACGATCACGGTAACAGAACAACTCGATCTTATGTTACATTCACTGATAGTAAGAGGTTGGTAGGAGATGAAGCATTTAACCAAGTCGGGAGGTTCCCCGCCAACTCAATCTTCGGTAAGATTAAAATGATATGATCAGTTATAATTAATTGTTTATTTGTTTCCTTCATCACATAATAATCTAAAAATGATTTTACAGATGCAAAGCGGTTAATTGGTAGGAGATTTAGTGAAGAAACTGTTCAAAATGATATCAAGTGCTGGCCATTCAAGGTCATTGAAGGTCCTGCTGACAAGCCCTTGATTGTGGTTAACCACAAGGGTGAAGAGAAAAAATTTGCTGCGGAAGACATCTCTTCCATGGTTTTGGCAAAGATGCGGGAGATTGCAGAATCCTACCTTTGCTCAAAGATTTCAGCAAAAAATGCGGTTATCACTGTCCCCTCTTACTTCAACGACTCACAGCGCCAGGCTACAATAGAGGCTGGCAAACTTGCGGGCTTAAATGTGCTGCGTATTATCAACGAACCAACTGCTGCAGCCATAGCTTATGGAATCGACAAGAAGGCCGGTTGGTTTAACAAGAGAAATGTGATGATATTTGATTGGGGTGGTGGTACGTTGGATGTGTCACTACTTAACATAGGCCATGGTGTGTTTGACGTGAAGGCCACTGCCGGAGATACTCACCTTGGCGGTGAAGACTTGGATAACAGAATGGTGAACTACTGCGTCGAAGAATTCAAGACAAAACAGAACGTGGACATTGGTGGAGACGCCAAAGCTCTTCGGAAGGCCAAAACTGCGTGTGAGAAAGCAAAGAAGGCACTTTCGTTTTCCTTTGACACTGATATTGAAATTGACTCTTGGTATAAGGGTGAAGATTTTCATACAACTTTTACCCGCGACAAGTTCGAAGAACTGAACATGGACATCTTCAACAAGTGCATGGAGCCTGTGAACAAGTGTTTGGAGGATGCCAAAATGGGCATAAGAGAGGTCGATGACGTTGTTCTTGTTGGTGGGTCTTCTAGAATCCCCAAGGTTCAAGAGCTATTGCAGGAGGTTTTCAAGGGTAAGGAGTTGTGCAAGAGCATTAATCCTGATGAGGCCGTGGCTTATGGAGCCGCTGTTCAAGCTGCAGCCTTGAGTGGGAACGTAACTGGGAAGCTTCAAGACTTCACTCTCTTGGATGTCACCCCTCTATCACTTGGGTTGGAGAGTATGGAACATGATAGTTCCAAGCTTTACATGAATGTTGTGATTCCAAGAAACTCAAGAATTCCGGTGAGGAAGACAACAAGTTTAACTACTGTTTATGACTATCAAGAGGCTGTTACCTTCCCCATTTATGAGGGTGAAAGTAAAGTAGCCAAAAATAATAATTATTTAGGTGAATTCACCCTCCATGGCATTCCTCCGGCTCCCAAGGGTGTTCCCAATTTCAGTGTTTACTTTGATATGGACGCAAATGGAGTTTTGAGTGTCTCCGCTGAGGATATGTCCACTGGCCAGAAGAAAGGGATCAAAATCAAGCGTGACAGAACAAAGTAACTCTTTAAGGGAATATTAAGGATTAAGATAGCATCTACCATGAAGTAATTATTTTCTTTGATTTTATGTTTAAGTACAATATCTTTAAGGGTAGTCGATGTGAACTTCTTTTGCTTGTGCATTTCGTGATTTGGTGGTTTTTTTCTTGTTTTTTTTCCTCTTCTCTGGGTTGGGGTGTGGGGGAGTGTGCTTGTAAAAGACTTGCCTGATTTGTAGCGCACACATCTTATAAGTAAAAACACATTTCTTCCCGCAAATACATTCACGACAGCTTCAGTTTGTATTTTGGATTAAATTTTTGTGTCTTGCTCCTTATAATCATCAAGGAGATTTGTTATAACGTTGTACAAAAGTTTAATTTGGTGCATATTACAGGCACAAGAAGATAATTTATAGATTAAATTAGGGCAATTTATCTTCTTTCTTCTTTTTTTCCTTTACAAATGATAGAAACATATTTACAAGGTAATTTTATAACAGGTCAATAGATTAACACAACTGTCCAATACACCCACAATAAAATCACAACTAGATATCAAACTCATCATCGCAAATATATATCACCCTCACCTCATCGGCCTTCTATGTGTCCACTTACTCAATTATTAAAATGCGTTCTCTCTCACTAAGAATATGGAAACTCAGCATGATTGGATGAGGAGATATGAGTGGCACAACTTTCTTCCTACTCTGACGGGAGTCTTTCAATGAAGTTCTTTACTTGACCCCAAAAGATAAAATAAAAATTCTTCCTCGCATGACACAGATAAATGACCGTGCAGCTCCAAAAAAAATTATTTTATTTTAACTCTTTGTTGGAAAATATTTTATTTATATTCATTCCCTTGGAAGTTGGAAGTAGTCAACTTATTTACCAGTTATGTCTTGACACATGTGCAGAAATTCTTCCTTACGTGTTTCTAGTGACTTATTTTTGTATATATGTTCAAATTAAAGTTTTGGGACAAGAGGAGCTAAAGGATTGTTCCTCTTTGTTTTTAGTGAGTCATTTTAGTTGTGCTATTAAAGAAATAAATAAATCTTGCCTGAGTGGCAGAACATGAAGGATAATGTGAGCTTAGGTTTCTGACACATAATTTTTGAAATGAGTATATAACAATTTCACAAATTATTACTGAACATGATTTAACTGTTTTTGTTCTCGAAAAACGTTTTCAAATTAACAATTTCACAACATTCTTAGATATAGAAAATGCAAATTTGTTTTTCTGTTTTGCTATATTGTATTAGTTTTGTTCTGTATATACGATTTTATATTTTTTCTTGTTTTTATCCTTTATGGCCACTGTCATGAGCACTCTTCCTAACCTTTTTAGCTTTCTATCACGACCAAGACTTTCCAGCTGCCATTTTTCATTTATTGGGTTATTTACTCAAATGGTTCTCAAATTTATACTCGAGTTGCATTTTGATCCATGAACTAAATTATTCGTTCAAATGGTCCACAAACTCTATATTAATTGGAGAATTGGTCCAACTGCTACATTTTCTGTGAATTTTAGTCATTGTTTGGATTGTGCGTGATTCTCTCCAGATGAATTCAACATGTTGTTGTGTATGATCTCTAGAGAAGATTTACTCATATTTGGCACATAATTGCTTTGTACTTTTATTTACTCATCAATAATATACTATCGCTTATTTTTTTATTAGTTAAATAAACTACTTTTAACATCTAAATTATGTAAATAAAAGAGGAAGAATAAATTATTATGAATGATCTTAGCCACTTCAGTTTTACTTATAGTTGGAAAGTCCAAGAAAATAAATTATGTAAATGGTTAGACTCAACAAGATATCACCGTCAGCAACTTGAAAATTAGCCTGGGCTATAAAATTATTTTTTCTCAAGAGCACTACTAAAAATCTTAGTAGTTAAATTGAAAATAAATTTGCATTTTAAGGCCAAAACCAAATTACCAATTTTTTGCGCCGAACCTAATACCCCTTATTACCTTTTTGGCAGTACCTAAATTATACGGAAAATTTTTGGTAGTGCTTGTGAATAAATAAATAAATCGTGTCTAGAAGGGTAATGTGAATTTTGGTTTCTGACAAATAATTTTTTAAATGAGAATATAACAATTTCACAAATTATTAATGAATATGATTGTACTGATTTTGTTCTCGAAAAATGTTGTCAAATATGTATGGGTAATGCAAATTCTTTTTTCCATTTTTGCAATACAAAAACATTTTAACAAAACATTACTAGATAGAATGAGGTCCAACAAATTTGCTATCTGGCTCTCTATATTTACAGAGGAGGAAAGAGAAATTGAGGGTTCTCCATTTCTTCTTCTCCTCTCTCCCTAGGCTCACAAGTCACAACCCTCTCTCACTTCTTCCTTTTTTTGATTTTTTTAATGAACTTTTAATTTATAAAGGAGGTTACAAAAATAATAAATATTAGAAAGTAGTCAAAATAGATAACATTGTTAAAGAAAACACTTTTTAAGTAGTTTGCTATAATAGCTTTCTAACTATTTTAACTAAAATTTTACTAAATTTGAAGACGCTCTTGGAAATACTCTTATATTATATACGTTTTTTATATGCAAAGTCAAACTGTAAAAGTAGCTCTTGTAAAATTGGCATACACTTTTATTTTATTATATATTTTTTCTGAAGAGTGATCAATACTTTCCTTTGTATTTTTTTATTGAATATGGCCGCGGTCATGATTTCACAGGAGTAATAGTCACTGTGACTTTTGCTTTTTTTTTCTTTTTTTTTAAAATTATAATATATATAGGGAGTGACTGTAATCCACTTCGTCACTTTTTTTTTTTTTTTTTTTTTTTTTTTTTTTTTTGGCAATCGTGCTGATTTTTCAAATCAAAATGAATCACCAAACTCTATGATACAGCCAAGACAACAGAGAAAAACAACCCAGGCTTTGCTGAACTTTATTACATATTTTATGTTATTGTGCCAAAAAAGTTCCATGAAAATATTAGGTGAGGTAGGTATTTAAAGTCTTTTGAGTCTACCTTTGTAAATATCTACAATAATTAGTCTGAGAGAGAGAGAGAGAGACTGATCTACTTTTGTTAGTCTGTTGCCGAATACATGTAGCGGAGTCAGGATTTGGAACTCACACCACTAGAATTCTTTTCTTTCTTCATAGATGTAGGAGCTCTTAGAGGTCCCCTTATTTTAAGAAGTGGATAGAGAGCATGGTTGAAGTTATATTTTTCTAATTCCTCCCTAAAATTTGTTTAAGAATGTGGTTTAGGGAGCCCATTGTAGATGCTCTAAGTAATCAAAAATACAAAAACATCATACATATTACATATATATATATATATAAATCATTACAATTCTTTTGTGTATGTAATAAGTACAAAAAATTTTGTGTGCGTACAACGTTATAACAAATCTACTTGGTGATTTTAAGGAGCAAGACACAAATTTAATCAACAATAAAAACTGAATCTCTCTTGAATGTTTGCAGGAAGAAATACGTTTTTACTTATAAGATGTACGCGCTAGAAATCAGGCAAGTCTTTTACAAGCATACTCCCCCACACCCAACCCAGAGAAGAAAAAGAAAAAGAAGAAGAAAAAAAAACACAGCAAATCACGAAATGCACAAGCAAAAGAAGTTCACATCGACTTCCCTTAAATAATTACTTCATAGTGGATGCTATCTTAATTCTCAATATTCCCTTAAGAGTTACTTTGTTCTTTCACGCTTGATTTTGATCCCTTTCTTTTGGCCAGTGGACATATCCTCAGCAGAGACACTCAAAACTCCATTTGAGTCCATATCAAAATAAACACTGAACTTGGGAACATGCTTGGGAGCCGGAGGAATGCCATGGAGGGTGAATTCACCTAAAAAATTATTATTTTTGGCTATGCTACTTTCGCCCTCATAAATGGAGAAGTTAACAGACTCTTGGAAGTCAAAACTAGTAGTTACACTTGTTGTCTTCCTCACCGGAATTCTTGAGTTTCTTGGAATCACAACATTCATGTATAACCTGGAACTATCTCGTTCCTCACACTCCAAACCAAGTGATAGAGGGGTGACATCCAAGAGAGTGAAGTCTTGAAGCTTCCCAGTTACGTTCCCACTCAAGGCTGCAGCTTGAACAGCGGCTCCATAAGCCACGGCCTCATCGGGATTAATGCTCTTGCATAACTCCTTACCCTTGAAAACCTCCTGCAATAGCTCTTGAACCTTGGGGATTCTAGAAGACCCACCAACAAGAACAACATCATCGACCTCGCTTATGTCCATTTTGGCATCCTCCAAACACTTGTTCACAGGCTCCATGCACTTGTTGAAGATGTCCATGTTCAGTTCTTCGAATTTGTCCCGTGTGAAAGTTGTGTGAAAATCCTCACCCTTATACCAAGAGTCGATTTCAATATCAGTGTCAAAGGAAAATGAAAGTGCCTTCTTTGCTTTCTCACACGCAGTTTTGGCCTTCCGAAGAGCTTTGGCGTTTCCACCAATGTCCACGTTCTGTTTTGTCTTGAATTCTTCCACGCAGTAATTCACCATTCTGTTATCCAAGTCTTCACCGCCAAGGTGAGTATCTCCGGCAGTGGCCTTCACGTCAAACACACCATGGCCTATGGTAAGTAGTGACACATCCAAAGTACCGCCGCCCCAATCAAATATCATCACATTTCTCTTTTTAAACCAACCGGCCTTCTTGTCGATTCCATAAGCGATGGCTGCAGCAGTTGGTTCGTTGATGATACGCAACACCTTTAAGCCGGCTAGTTTGCCAGCCTCTAAGGTTGCCTGACGCTGTGAGTCGTTGAAGTAAGAGGGGACAGTGATAACTGCATTTCTTTCAGAAATCTTTGAGCAAAGGTAGGACTCGGCAATCTCCCGCATCTTTGCCAAAACCATGGATGAGATGTCTTCAGCAGCAAATTGTTTCTCTTCACCCTTGTGGTTAACCACAATCATGGGCTTGTCGGCCGGACCTTCAATGACCTTGAATGGCCAGCACTTG